CCGCGTCCACGGGCGGGGCCCCTCCGCGTCCTGCCCGGCGAGCGCTGGACATGAAACACCAGGCTGTACCGTCGGCCCTTCTCCCGGAGGTTATTCTGCACGCGATCGTTCGTGCCAGCCGTGCCAGCCGCCTCCAAGCTCTGTGTTAGGTGTAAACATATGCTGCTCTTTTTTAAAAAGCAGGATTTAGCCATCCCATTTATTGACTTACTTTTTTTTTTTAAGAGAGAGGAAAGAAGGACATAGAGAAAGAGAGAAACATGGGTCGGTTGCCTCTCGTATGCGTCCCGACCGGGATCGAACCTGCAACCTAGGTATGTGTCCGAACCAGAACCCGCTTCCCTTTGGTGCAGGGGACCACGCTCCAACCAACTGGCCACCGGCCGGGGCTCGCTGTCTCATTAGTGGTCCTGTCTTCTCCACCTCTTACCTTTACTATAGAACCTTAAAGCTAAGTCAGCATCCGGAATGTCTAACACAACTATTTTAATTAAGGGTTTCATTCTAAATTGTATTGAGTGACATTAATCCCTGTCTCCTCTGGTTGTATAAGATATTTATTTTGTAAATTGGTAAAAACTGGTTTTGTTCCATTGCCCTCCCTCCCTCCCTTTTCTTTTTTCAGTTAAGCTGAGTGTAGAGCAGTGATTCCCAGTCTTTTCCTGGTCTGCCAGCTTTTTCCTATCAGTGTCAGGAATCCTTTGTGTCTGAACAGTGCCTGCATTCTCCTACCCAGCGGGCCCCAACCGTTATTCCTTAACTTGCTGGGTATTTTTCACAACCCGTAACATTCTATGTTTTTTTGCTTATTTCTGGACAGGGAAGTTCCTCGGCGACATGGTCTTATCCCAGGCTCGGGGCATCCTACTCCAGAAATATGACTTTAAAAGAAAAAAGCCCATCGGGTATTGAGGTGGGCTAAAGCCCTTTTTAAGAAATAGGCTCATGCGGTGACAATAAAACTCCTGTATGGGAATTAAACGCACCAGGGATTCTCAAACTTCAGTGTGCGTCTGAGTCACCCAGAGGACTTGTCAACACAGATTTCTGGGCCTCACCTCAGAGTTTCTGATTGAGTAAGTCTGGAGTGAGGACTCAAGAACTCGAATTTCTCTCAAGTTCCGAGGGGATGCTGCAGGCCCAGGGACCACAGTTTGAGAACTGCTGACCTACACCTACTTGCGGAGGGTGATTTCCTGGGAGGGAGCAGTGGAGGATTGGGCGGGGTCCACAGGGGCTTCAACTGTATATGTAATATTTTTATATCTTTAAAAAAGGTCTTTAAACATGATGCAGTGTTACCTGACAAAGCTGAATAGATGTCCATAATCTTGTTTTTTGGTTTTCTCTGTGCTTGAAACATTTCAGGAAAAAAATACAGATCCTATTTGCTGTGTGGCGAATGGATTGAAAAGGAGAACGTAGGAGACCATGTAGGAAACTGTTGCGGAAGTCCAGGTAAGAGATGCTGGTGGCTTAGACCAGCCTGGGGAGCAAGAACGGGGAGAAATGGGCAGAAGTGAGAGCCATTTGGGCGATAGAATTGACTGTATGTGGTGACTGGTTGGTTTAGAGCAAGGGTGGGAAACCTTTTTCCTGGCAAGGGCCATTTGGATACTTATAACATTATTTGCTTAATATAATTCACTTAATATAAACTTATGTTGCTCTGAAAAAAGCTCCTAAATTTATTGAATTTAATAATGTATACTAATAAAAGGGTAATATGCTAAGTAGACCGGGAGACCTTCCAGATGTCTTTCTGGACAAAGCCATGGTGGTGGGGACAAGGCAGAGGCGGTTAGGGGTGATCAGGCTGGCAGGGGAGGGCAGTTGGGGGCGATCAGGCCAGCAGGGGAGGGCAGTTGGGGGTGATGGGGCCGGAAGGGGGGATCAGTTGGGGGCGATCAGGCTGGCAGGCAGAGTGGTTAGGGGCGATCAGGCGGGCAGGCAGGCACATGAGCGGTTAGGAGCCAGTGGTCCCAGATAGTGATCCCTGTGGGATGGGGCCTAAACTGTCAGCCGGACATCCCTGGAGGGGGTCCCAGATTGGAGAGGGTGCAGGCCAGGCTGAGGGACACCCCTCCCCCATGCACGAATTTAGTACACTGGGCCACTAGTAAATAATAAATGCAGTTGCCTTGGTGGGCCATACCTTCCCCACCCCTGGTTTAGAATCTCCTGTTTTGTGACTTAAGGGAACGGGTATGTTGTGTGCCCGTCACAGAGAGGGGACCCTGGAGAGGGGACATGCTGGGGATAGGAGACTCATCCCAGGCCTTGGAGAGCCAGCTGAGTGACGCCTAGGAGGAAGATCTGGCCCACGGTAGAGATTTGGAAATGGGTGTTTATGTGGCGTGAAAGCCACGTTCATGGGTGAGATTACAGAGAGGGAACCATAGAATGGGAAGATGGCCTGCGCAGATCCACAGGAGAATCCACACCTATGCTGGGCTTGGCCAACTGCTGCCCACCACCTGTTTCTGTACGACCTGCGCGCTAAGAAAAGTCAAAAGAATAATCTTTTGTGACAATGAAAACTATGTGAAATACAAATGTCATCGTCTATAAATAAAGTTTTGTTACAATTAAGCCATGCACATTTGTATATGTCGTATTTGGGACTGCTCTGGTGATGGGGTTGAGCAGCTGTGGCCTCTCATCTCAGACACTGCTGCTCAGCGCACCAGGAGTCACAGTGATGTGGTTACCTCAGTGTCCGCTTCCGCCCCGCAGCTAAATATTTATTATCGGGACGTTTACAGAAAAAGGTTTGCTGGTCCCTGACCTGAGGTCTAAATGAGACCCTTGGTCAGCTGTCAGTGTTGCCGAGGAGAGCTGGCAGCTGTTTGACTCGTTTCTTTCCGAGCATCTTCCGAGGATCAGGACTGGTGGGAGAAGCTCCAGAGCCTGGGAGGCCCGAGTGGTAAAAGTCATCAGAGTTTCATCTGAAGCCCCTGAGAATGGCAGAATGGGCCGGAGAGAAAGATCTGGGCCTGGGATCTTGATGAGAAAGGGGAGCAAGCAACCGTCAGAACGTTGCTGGGCATAGCTGGAAGACAGGCGGTGGTGTGAGCAGATGGCATCGATTCAAGAAAAGGAGGTGGTTGCCCTGGACGGGTGGCTCGGTTGGTTGGAGCATCATCCCGTATACCAAATGGTTGTGTGAGGGTGCAGGCCAGTCAGGGCACATACCTAGGTTTTGGGTTTGATCCCCAGTTGGGGCACATGTGGGAGGCAACTGATCTCTCTCTCCTCTCTCTCTCTCTCTCTCTCTCTCTCTCTCTTTTTCTCCTTCCCTTCTTTCCCTCCTTCCTCTCTCAAAAATCAATTAAAAATTATGTCCTTGAGTGAGGATTAAAAAGGAAAAGAAAAGGAGGTTGTTGAGTAATGCTGGAGCAGTTCAGTAGAGCCAGGGTTTACTGGGCACCTCTTACAGCAGGGATAAGCAAAGCAGCCTTTTCTTCAGATAATTAGAAAAAGCACACAGAATTGTAGAAGAACCCGTTATTTCTAAAACTTCCTGCTTGGAGGAGCAATGTCACTGTGCTGACCCTTGACCTGCAGCTTCCCTGGCCTGGGTGACTGGAAGAATACAGTTGTCATTTACTGAGATTGTGAGCACTGCAAACAGCTATTTGGGGGGCAAGGGCGAAGCAGGTGTCGAGTTTGGGAAGTAGGCAATTATGAATAACATGGCTATAAGCATTCATCTACAGGTGTTTATATGAATGTATGTTTTCTTGGGTATATACCGAGCAGTGGATTTACTGGGTGATATGGCAACATTTTGTTTAGCTTTAAGGACCTGCCAGACTGTTTTCCACAGTGGCTGCACCATTTTACATCCTCACCAGCAATGCATGAGGGTTCCTGTTTCTCCACATCCTTGTCTATACTTGTTATTGCCTGACTTTTTTATTACAGCATCCTAGTGGATGTGTGGAGGGATTTGCATTACTCTGATGGCTAATCAAGTTGAGCATCTTCTCATGTGCCTCTTGGCCATCTATATATCTTTGGAGAAATGTCTATTCAAATTCTTTGCCCATTTAAAAATTGAGTTATTGTATTTTTTATTGGACACTTGGGAGTGGTCAGCAGGAGATGGAGAGTCCTGACTCTGGATAGATAACCCCCTTGAGGGAGGGAGTGAAGAGGTCGAATCTGAGCCCTGGGGCACCTGGCATTTACAGACAGAGACTGGGGAGCCACCAGAGTGAGGTTTCCTGGAAACCAAGTAAAAGCGTTTGAAGAAGGAAGGAGTGATCAGCTATGCTAAGAGGTCAATACCAGGACTGTGAATTGACTGTTGTGTTTACCAATGTGGAGGTCACTTTGATAGGGTCAGTGTGGGTGGAGTAGCATTGAGTTCAATAGAAATGGAGGAGAGAGATGGAGATAGTGAGTATAGATAGTTTTTAAAAAAATATTTTTATTGATTTCAGAGAGGAAGGAAGAGGAGGGAGAGAGAGAAACATCAGTAATGAGAGAGAATCATTGATCAGCTGCCTCCTCCCTGCCCCCCACTGGGGACTGAGCCCACAACCCGGGCATGTGCCCCAAGCAGGAATTGAACCGTGACCTCCTGATTCACAGGTCGATGCTCAACCACTGAGTCACACGGGACAGGCAAGTAGAGATAGTTTTTTAAGGAATTTGCGAAAAGGTAAGGGAAAAATAAGGCAGTAACTGAGGGGGAAGTAGGATGAAGGAAGAATGTTTGAAATGATGGGGGAAGTTAGGGCATCCTGGCCATGATGCAGGAGAAGAGGGGAGACCTGCTGGGGCAGTGCCCGTGAGCAGGCGGGAGAGAGGGATCTGTGCACAGGTGCAGAGCTGGGAACCCCACTTTGTTCATAGTCACAGGAGAGGGGGTACAGGGAGCAGGAGCCTGCGCAATGATGTTGGCAGCTTGTGGCAGTGCTCTCTGGTGGCTTCTGTTTTCCCAGGCATATAGGTAACAGGATCATCAGTGGGGGTCGAGGTGATAGTTTGAAGAGAGGGGGCGTAGGCCATGGGAACGAACCAGCAGGTGTATCAACCCATTGACTGCGTGAGCCTGCACAGCGTTGAGACCTGGTGTCTCTATCGGCGGAAAAGGGAGTGTTATTACAGGATTTGGGGCACAGTATTATTACAGGTGGCGTTTGGCAAAATTGACACGAAGCTTTGTTTTGATGGGCTCAGAGGCAAGCAGGGCTATCTGTAAACAGGTCACGTTCCGATCTGGATTGCAGAGTGGAGCCCAGGGTCTGGTTTCTGGGAGACTGCCAGGTTCACACCAATGCTCACCATCACCTCCAGACAAGCGGACAGGGCCTCTGACCACAGCTGGGCTGCAGGAGGACTTCCTGCAGCTGCTGCACCAGCCTGGGAATCAGGAGCCCCAGGGACCCCCGGGCACAGCGAGGGCCCCTGGGAAGATGGGCCGTTCGTACGATGCCATTGGTCTGTGTGCAGGGTTGTAATTTTCCGTAGCAGGCCTTTTGGCACGTTGTGGCAGGGTACTTTGAAACCAGGGCCCGGGGCGCACCAGAGCACTGACTGCCCTGGTGTCCGGATGGAGACCTGAACTGGCAGAAGGAAGACGTACCTAGAAGGTAACGCTCCGTTCACAAGTGTCTCAGACCCCAGAAGTGCAGGGTCAGTCCTGTCACCGATGTCCCCCCTGCGTCCCAGTGCTGATAACTACCGCACCACATCCCTTGTCGAGGTATTGACACCGTTCATTCTCATTCAGAATAGGGTCTGCCTCCTGCACCCTGAGTGCCCAGCACCTGATGTCCAGGGCCCTTCCCCCGCCTTCTCCCCTCCGAACCCTCCACCATCCAACAACTAAAGCTGTGATGCCCGCCCTCACCACAGCCCGCACACCGGCGCCAGGGCGTTCCTTTGGTGAGTGACCACACCCTCAGTGGTTCCACAGTGTGAGGTCCATCTCTGCGTCACCCCCTCCATTCTCACCACCACCATTCTAGCTACATACTCGTTGGCTCTAATCCTGGCTCATCGCCCGTCCCTCAGCCTCAGTCCCTTCCACCCCAGATGCACCTTTCACGCCTGCTGAAGAGTCGCCTTTGCTGCTTAAAAGCATTAAGGAGCTTCTGAGCACCTTCCAAGGAACATGCCAGCTCCTTTGCTGGTTCAAGGGCATTGCAGCCCCTCTGATCACCCCAGCGAGTCCCCTACTGCTCTCCCTTGTCCAGCTTCTGTCCCAGCCCCACTGGGCGAACACCCCGGGTTTGCTGCTTTCATTTGACTAACTCGTCATTGAATATCAACTCGGTGCAAACACGGTGGGAGAGTCAGACAAAATCGGACGCACACTTAACACCTCCCTTCTAATTGAATCTATAATCGAGGAGCCCAGACTGTGGTTTGTAATAAAAAATACTGACTATGAGAGCAGCTGGCACTGAGCATTTAGTGTGAGCCTAGCGTCCAGTCCCTTCTTTCACCCTCACGATGACACCTAAAGTGCAGGATCCTTGCATGTAAGAGGCCTAGGGGGTGTGCCACCGTCAGTCCCTCATCATCAAAACACCTTACTGAAAATGAAAGACAGCCGTTATTACTTGTTTCATCTTACGTTTCAGGAAGTTACAGAGGATAACAACATGGAGATGAAGCCGCAGGATGGCAGAAGGAGTCCCCCCCACAGGGAGGTGCCCCCAGTCGTGGGGCTGCTGCTGGCCATGGCTGTCATGAACGCGCTCCTCTACCTCTGCCTCGATCGCTTCTTCATCGCCCCCCGGCGTTCCGCCCTGGACCCCCGGCACTGTCCCTACGGCCACTTCAGAGTGGGGCAGATGAACAACTGCTCGGCATGGCTGTCCTGTGAGGAGCTGAGGACAGAAGTGAGGCAGCTGAAGCGTGTTGGGGAGGGAGCCGTGAAGAGAGTGAGTTCCTGATTAACCTCTGCGTTACCATCGCGGTGTTGATGGGTGGCCCTTTGGGAAAGCAACTTGGCATCGTGAGCCCAGTAACTGCACATCTAATAAAACAATCTGGTGGAAGGGAAAAAGCTAAATGCTTAAAGAAGTGCTTTGCTTTGTTTTTGTGGTTGTTCCAGTGATGAGAGAGAATCATTGATCGGCTGCCTCCTGCACAGTCCCCACTGGGGATCAAGCCTGCAATCTGGGCATGTGCCCTGACCAGGAGTCGAACCGTGACTTCCTGGTTCATAGGTCGATGCTCAACCACTGAGCCACGCCCAGCCGGGCTGCTTTGTTTTTGATAGTAATAGAAAACTAGAAATAGTAACTGCAGCAATATGGTTAATTAAGTTATGGTCCAACCACTTGATAGAATATTCTGTAACCATTAAGTGTAGTTAGGAACCTGGGCAGCAACATGAAAGAAAGTTAGGATGAGAAGTAAAAAAAAAAAAAAAAAGCCAAATACAAAATTGTTGAATATACTGTATTCAACTGCAAAATCATGTATTTATGTAAAAAAATACATAAAACTGGCCCTAACCAGTTTGGCTCAGTGGATAGAGCTTTGGCCTGCGGACTTAAGGGTCCCGGTCAAAGGCATGTACCTTGATAGCCGACACATCCCCAGTGGGGGGTGTGTGGGAGGCAGCTGATCGATTTTTCTCTCTCATTGATGTTTCTAACTCTCTATCCTCTCCCTTTTGTGGGCACATCCCCAGTGGGGAGTGTGCAGGAGGCAGCTGATCGGTGCTGCTCTCTCATCAATGATTCTAACTCTCTATCCCTCTCCCTTCCTCTTTGTAAAAAATCAATAAAATATATATTTTTAAAAATATATAAAAATGATAGAAATTGTGGTACAGTGAAGGATTGTGGGCAATATTTTTCATTTTTACTATTCATACTCTATGATGGTATATTGATTTTTTTTAAGTTTTTAATTTTAATGAGAGAAGCCAAAGGGGTGAATTCAGTTCTCAGAGGCTTCAAGAGCCCTTGTCTTATCAGCAAGGAGTGTGTGCTGCGTTTTGGTGGCCATCATTTCCATAGTAACCGAGGCTTACTGATAAAACAAAGAGCGACTCTGGAAGCCAGTTCAGGACTGTTGAACAAAGACAGGTCCTTTGTGAGGATGCCCTGAATGACTAGTGAAAGGGAAGGAAGGAGCAGAAAATGCATGAGTGCTGGATAAAGTGCTGGTCTTTATTTTGGGAGATGGGGACCCCAGCTGCTGCTCCCATGAATGTGGAAAGGAGACGTCTTAAAGGAAGAAGTCAGTTAGACAGGGAGAAGGGACAGGCATTGATATAAAGTAGAACCATAAAACAAGGTAACTGGTTCTTTTAAAGATTCATTCATTCATTGTTGTGGCTGTTAGGGGTGAGACAGTGAAAGAAACAAAGACCCTGGAAGCTTGCTTTCTAGTTGGGGAGTCAGACAGTCAGGAAAATAAGAACAGTGTGTATTGAAACATGTCCATGATGCGCTGTGAAGACAAAGCAGGGCGGGTGACAGGCTTGTTCCTATAGGTGGCCGGAACCGCCCGAGAGTGAGCTGTGTGGATATTTGGGGAAAGGATGTTCCAGTAGAGAGGTGGGTACCAGCAGAGGGCCCAAGATAAACCCGCTTGGTGTCTGGGGAGCAGGAAGGAGCCCGTGAACCCAGGGGCAGGGTGAGGAGGAGAGGTAGCACACAGTCAGAGAGGGACCGGAGGTGGCCGGGCTAGGCCTGGCAGCTGAGAGATGGTCACAGCTTGACCAGCTGTTAGCAGTGGATGCAATGAGAACTCTTGGATTCAGTCCTGTTTGGGAAAGAGGGTGACTACCAGTTTCTTGGCCTGGGTAACAGGACACATAGGGTCGTCATTACCTGATACAGAGAAGATGGGAAGGAGCAGACTGTGTGTGCGTGAGGCGGACATGGCGAGACCAATTAGATGTCCACAGGGAGACAGACGTCTTTCAGGCAGTTGGTTGGATGTCCGAGTCCAGCATTTGGAGGTCTTGGTTTGGGGAATGTGTATTTGGGATGGTGCTGAAAGCATTCGGATGTGAAGAAATCACCACGAAAGGATGAAGTAGAGAAGAGGACATAGCAGTGAATTTGTCCCCTCCAAAGAGGTTCCCGCCAACTTGTTTCCTATTATTGGAATCACTTGGAACATTTTAAATTCTATTTTTTGGAATTGCTTTTTACCTCAGAGGGTATGTTTTTGAGTAGCTTTGATGGTGGCAAATCATTGTTGTATGAGGACAGACTTGATTTTGGGGAATTCTACACATCGTGCCCATCCAAATACGGGATTTAATGATGTGGGTACCAGCTCCGAGGAATGTGGTTTATTTATTAGTGTGACTAAAAGCTGTTACATTTATTCTGTGTGTGCCTTTGGCCAAAACTTGCTCTCAGGGCAAAAGTACCCTGAGCACCGATGCTAGCGGGTTGGGTCAGGAGCCTGTTCGTCTTGCCCCATCAGTGCCTGTGCAGGTCTGGCCCAGCGTAGACTCTCACTGCCCTCCAGGAGACCTTGAACCTCCAGCTCAGGTGTGGTTGGCCCCTGACTTCTCACGGCTCGTGCACTACAGTTTTTCCCACTCAGAGGATCATTCCTATTGGTGCACAAACACACACTCTTTAAATTGAACTTTCATTCCCGTTTCTCTGTAGTAAACCTGCCATAGCTCTGGCTCTCCTTCTTCATCTCCCCTTCCTTCCTCCTCCCTCATCTGAACAAGCCCTGAAGGAACGAGCTTCCTGCCTTTCCACACAGGTGGGCGCCCTCCTCACTGACCCCCACACTGGGAGGCACGGGTTTCTCCGTAGGAGTTTCTGTAACCAGAGTTCTTGACGCCCCACTCTCTGCCCCCCACCTCCTCCCTAGCGCCCCTGCTTCAGTAATTCCTGTCTCATTGGGACCATTGGTGTTACGTTTTCACTTTCTGACGCGCTCCTGCCTGCACTCCCCGATTTACCCAGCAGCGGAGGTCCCGTGGCCATCATCCTCGTCACCTTCCCTCACACACTTGCCACAACTCCCTTGCATCTCTCTCCATCGTGCCTGGCTGGAGAGCCCCAAACCCGGCTGACCCACTACCCATCCGCACTTAAGCACAGCTGTGTGGTTGAGCGCACGACTACAGATCTCAGCTGTGCACTCAGCACAGACCAGCTGGCTACTCTATTCCCTTAGTAACTCTTCCTTCCCAATCTCTGACACAGGTATTTCCTCAACACCCCAACCCTGACTTAGCTCATGACCTTGTTACATGAGTTAGGGTGAAACAGAAGCCACCTAAAGGGAATTTTCTCATCTTCCCACCACTAGTCCTTGAACCTCCAGCTCAGGCGTGGTTGGTCCCTGACTCCTCATAACTTCCCTCGCTTCAGTCCCCCCCCCCCCCCCCCCCATCATCAGTGTTTCCCGCTCTGAGGATCATTCCTACTGGCACACAAACATGTGCTTTGAATAAGACCATCCTCTTCTCTTGATCCCGCCTCCCTCTGTAGTAAAACTGCCACAGCTCTTCTACCTCTTCTCTCTTTCATGCTTCCGCCCTCTGCCCTGCGGCTTCCAAACTCCGCCAGGCTCTCATACAGAGGCCAGTGCTCCTCAGGGTGGGCGTTCCTCTGTCTTCCTCTTGCTCCTTCTCGCAGTCCTGATCCCATTGACTCCTCTCTGCTTGCAGCCCTGGCTCTTCGCGCTGTGACATGTTTTTCGTGTTCCTCCTCCCTCACTGGCCACTCCTGATGCCTCTCCTTTGCTGCTTCTGTTCCCCATCCTGCCTCCAAATCAGAGGGCACTTGGGGACGGTTAGCAATGAGTAGAGATACAATGAGTAGAGATACATTTGAGGTTGTCATAGTGGGGGCTGTGGGGGTGCTGCTGGCATCCAGTGGGTGGAGTCCAGGGATGCTGCTAGTCATCCTCAACAAACAATATCTGGTCCAAAATGTCAGTGGTCCTGAGGCTGAGAAACCTGATTCCTTTTGGTTCCTTCCTGGACCTCCTCTTCTGTCTTCTTTAGATACACGTTTAGTTGATTTAATCTAGTGCCATTGCTTTAAATACAATTTATATGCTGGTGACTCCCAAATTTATATCTCCAGCCTGTGCCCCTCCCCGGAGCCACAAATTTGTGTATCCAGCTATTTATTCCACACCTCTGCTTGGAGGGCTCATCGAAGTACATCCAGTTTGGCACTTGGTCATTTCCTGTTCTGAAACCTGTTCTTCCCCAGCCTTAAAATCGCAGAGAATGCCATCACCTCTCACCTAGTCGCTCGAGCCAAAACCTGGGAGTCATCTGGAGTCCTCTCACCCACATCCCAAACTTGTTCGATAACCTCCGTCCCCGGCCCATTTTAGTGAAGTCCGCATTAGCTCTTGCCTTGGAACTGGCATCCCTGCTTCCAGTTTTGCCCTTCACCATGCACCAGGCAGAGCCACTTCCTAAATACAATTCTGACCCCTTCAGTGGCTTCCCATTGCCCTTGGGGAGCGATGGGGGGGATACAAACCTCCTACCATGATCTGTTCCCTGATCTGGGCCCTGCTACCCCCAAACTCACCCCCGACATCATCCTCACTCCCTCTACCCTGCACTCACCTATCTTTCTTTTTTTTCTTTTTTTAAAAATATGTTTTCATTGAATTCGGAGAGGAAGGGAGAAGGAGAGAGAAATAGAAACATCAATGATGAGAGAGAATCATTGATTGGCTGCCTCTTGCAGCCCCGGGGTTCGAGCCCAAAACCCAGGCATGTGCCCTCGACTGGAATCGAACCCGGGACCCTTCAGTCTGCAGGCCGACGCTCTATCCACTGAGCCAAACCAGCTAGAGCTCACCTACCTTCCTTTTGGTCCTTGATCAAACAGCCTTCTCTCAGGGCCTTTGTAGTTGCTGTTCTCTGCCTGAAATCCTCTTCCTCCACCTTTGACATGGCTAGTTCCTGGTCATCCAGGTCTCAGCTCAGATGTCACTTCTCTAAGCGGCTTTCCCTGACAGGTTGAGAACCGCAGGGCTACAGTGTTTGGACAGGTTCAAGCCTCGGACGAATGAGAGGGCACAGTCCTCTCATGGCCACGTGCAAGTCCCAACTTGGAGGGCAGGGCCCTCCCAGCACAATTGTAGCCAACAGCTATAGTTGTAAGCTTGAACCTATGGTCCAAACACATGGCTCCACGTGCCTGAGTGATGTGGGCTTGATAGAGTTCAGGTGCATGTAATTGAGTAGGATCGAAACCCACGAGAATGTTGTAAACATCTTTGTCTCGTGGAATCTGGCTATAAAATAAAGACACAGCTTGTAGTCCGTGGCACTGTCTCTCTCCATCAGAGAGGACAGCATCCCACCGAGACCCAGCTTTCATTCTCTTGTCTGTCTTTTCTCAATCCTTCACCGCCCCCACTCGGACTCACTGAACCTGGCTGAGCTGACGCAGCACATAAGGCACCCAATGGCCATGGCCATGGCCATGCCAGCCCACCACAGAAATGTAACTATAAGGCTATTTATTGTAACACTAGAGGCCCAGTGCATGAAATTCATGCACTGGTAGGGTCCCTAGTGGCTGTCGGCTGCTGGCCAGGGCCTCCCTCTCTTCCCACAGCTGCCTGCTGCCAGCCAGCCCCGTCCCCTGGTCGAACTCCTGGACAAACTCCCAGTTGGGGGGACAATTTGCATACTATGCTTTTATTATGTAGGATTGTTGTTAAAAATAAAAAAGTGGGAAATAATTTAAATATCTATCATGTCTTTAAAATCGTGTTACAGGTCTATGCAAAATTCTAGAGCTAGATGGGAAAGAGAACCCAATCCATGACATGGGTTTTTTTATTAGTGAATCGTCCTTCTCAGATCCAACAGAAATCTTCGGAGTCCTCTGGCCCACCTCCATTGGATATAATATTTGAGTTCTGTTAAAAAATGTCTTAAAATATGAAAGTAATATATATTCATTCTGGAAAAGATGGAAAATACCAAAAGGTGTAAAGAAAAAATATCACTCGGAATTGTACCATATGACTGCGAGCTGAAACATTAGCCTCTTTCTTTGATTTCTGTGTAATTTTATAGCCTGTTTTCATTTGCAGCATACTTTTATCTGTGAAAACTCTATCAATGTATGCATTTTGTTGACCACATAACATTCTTTTAAGTGAACCTACCATAACTGAACTACTCCCTGTTCTTTGGTGGATGGATAGCTTCCGGTTTATGTTTTTGTAAATAATGCCAGATTTTTATTCCTACAACTTTTTATCTATTTTAAATTATTGTCTTAAATAGATTATAGACTTAGATGTTAAAAGTTCTTGATAAATCATGCCCCAAATTCCTTTCTTACGTTCACAATGAAGAAGCAGAGCCCAGAGAGACACAGCCCTCTGGGGGAGTGGGGTGGGGGCAGCAGCCTGGGGCAGGGATTAGGCCTCAGAGCTGTTTTCTCTTCTGCAGTCTTCTGCCTTTCCTTTGGGAATTTAAGGGGAAGATCAGAGGTTCTTAATTACAGCACTTCCTGCAAGCCTTGCCTACCTAATAATAATTGAGGATCTAAGGCAGTACCAGACAGTTTTCTGGAAGCTCTGAACCAGGGCAAGTCTGGTGTTTGTGGCATTTCCACTCCTGCTTGTACAGCTGAAGTCACACAAACCCACAGACCATGTCAAAATGTTTACCTTACATAGAACTATTCCTATTTGTGGTTTACTGTGCTACCTTTTAAAATTAGTGCGTAATCTTGTTATGTGTGATGGGCTGGCTGGGCTCACTGCCTGTGTAGGATTTTCCAGTCATCTCTTCTCCCCCTTTGTGCTGCAGTATTTTGGAACTGGCAGTCTGTTTGCCACTCAGTGCCTTACCGTACACACGCAGTCCCCTCTCCTGGGAATGCGTTCCCCGTGCTCACATCCACCCTGCAAGCCCTGGTCATCCTTACAGCAGGGGTGGGGAACCTTTTTTCAGCTAAGGGCCATTTGGATATTTATAACATCATTCACAGGCCATACAAAGTTATCAACTTAAAAATTAGCCTGCTATATTTGGTCAGACATTTAATTAACTCACCCCTAATGCGTTGGCAGGGCCAGACCAAATGATTTCGCAGGCCTTATATGGCCCCAGGGCCAGACATTCCCCACCCCTGCTTTAGAGTAATTCCCAGGAGCCTTCCGGCACCCTCTCCGGATGGCCGGACGGATGGCCGGACGGATGGCCCCGCAGCACCTTGACCAGAGTCAGTCCCTCCACAGCCTCCCGCTAATAGGGCACTTGCCTCGCTGGGTATCTTGTGTTTGCTCATAAGTGAGTCTTTATAACTAGACTAAGAGCAACCCTAGGGTCAGGTCTGTGTCTCATCAATTTCTGTATCCTCTGTACCACATCCTGTTCTTAAAGATATCTGTGGAGTTGTTTCCCGGCTCTCTAACCCAGGTGATGTGCTCTGGCTCTGTTTCAGGTCTTTCTGTCCGAGTGGAAGGAACGCAAAGTCGCTCTCTCACGGCTCACCAGTCTGGAGATGAAAGACGATTTCCTCCACGGACTGCAGATGCTGAAATCTCTGCAGAGCAAACATGTTGTCACGCTGCTTGGCTTCTGTGAAGATGACAACACTATTCTCACCGAGTATCACCCCTTAGGGTCCTTGAGCAGCCTGGAAGCGACGCTCAACCTTTCCAAGTACCAAGCCGTGAACACCTGGCAGCAGCGGCTGCAGCTGGCCATGGACTACGTGGGCATCATCCACTACCTGCACCACAGCCCCCTGGGCACACGGGTCATGTGCGACTCCAACGACCTGCCCAAGACGCTGTCCCAGTACCTGCTGACCAGTAACTTCAGCATTGTGGTGAACGACCTGGATGCCCTGCCCCTGGTGAACCGCAGCGCCGGGGCGTTGGTGAAGTGTGGCCACAGGGAGCTTCACGGGGATTTCGTGGCTCCGGAGCAGCTGTGGCCCTACGGAGAGGACGTGCCTTTTCGCGACGATCTCATGCCCTCATATGACGAGAAGATCGACATCTGGAAGATTCCCGATGTCTCCAGTTTCCTTTTGGGGCATGTCGAAGGGAGCGACATGGTCCGATTCCATTTGTTCGATATTCATAAGGCCTGTAAGAGCCAGACTCCTGCAGAGAGGCCCACCGCGCAGGCCATTCTGGACACTTACCAGCACGTTCTGAATTCACTCAGAGACACCGTGACGTCTCAGACCAGAGAAATGCTATGAAGACTAGTCCGGTCAGTGAGGGGTGCGAGTTAAGGAACAGCAGTTCTGCTCTGACGGTGAGCTTGCTGCTGTTCAGCCAGGTGGCTCCACCTCTGTACCCACGTGCACGTGTGAGCGGCTGCCTCTGCTCGCCACCGGGGCGGAAATTGCTAAGCCAGAGCAACCGACGTGATCTAAGTCTGGCTTCACTTCTAACGCTGACCGCTCCCAGGAGAAGATGCAGAGAAGCCGTCAATCTGACCTGTATCTGAAGGAAGTAACTACAGAAAGTTGTAGCTGCAAAGAGCCTTTCCCTGACCTAATAACTGAGTTTGTAAGCTTGTAAGAAAGGTAGATAGAGACGATTTTTAAATGGCAGTATATGAAGGAAGCATAGAGTAGTTCTCCAAGGAATTTTCTTTCCTCTGTTTGTTGCAGCTATATCACTCTTCATTTCTTCTTGGGTCTTACTTAAGTTGTTGATTTTTTCATCTGTTTCGTCTTGCTTCTTGCAGAGGTTGTCGATTTTTTCCTCCGTCCGGTTTATGCACTCTAGGACCCTTATTCTGAATTCTTTTTCTGTCATGTTGCATGCCTCTGTATTACTTAGCTGCTTTTCTGGAGAGTCGTCCTTCTCTTTCCTTTGGGGGGTTCTTTG